ACACACACACACACACACACACACACACACACACACACACTTACACACGCACACACAAACACACACAAATCACGTACTGTTCAGTGTTTGTACTTATTATTGGCGTCCACATGGCCACAGGGTGCTTTATCCATTTTTAAAACTTAATCAACATTGACTCTGTGTATCTTAAACTCATGCACCGTTCTTTTTTAAAAAACCAATTTCCCGTCCATATTCGTTGCCTAGCCCTAAGATAAAGAAGGCAACTAAAGCAGGTGAGTTGTTTACCAGGAAAGCCTACAGTTCTCAAGAGGGTAAGATTATGAATCAATATTTTCCCAATATTAATTTTTGGTCATGACGCCGCCTGGCACGCCGCACTTCACCAACTAATTTTTCAACTAGGATAGCCTAGACATCGGTTGGTGGAACATTGTCGTTGCCGTATTTGTTTAACTTCGCATGTTGACATAATTTAGACTGCTATGACACTGCCTGTCAGGCCAACTCGGGCTGCGCGGAATAAATTCCTGCACTGAGAGAGACATACAGATAGAATATCTTCCCTTCTTGCACTCTCACACAGGATGCCAAACATGCTTCTGTCGTTATCAACAGCTTTCAATGAACGCTGTACCAACTTCTGGAGATTGAATTCTCGTCCTTACGAAATGAAAATTCGATTTCGCTAGAAGTGTTTTTACCTACAAAAGCTGTTCCTTTACTAAGTGTCCTCTCAGGGAATATTATTCATCAGAACGATGTGTTACTGGATTACATGTATGGCGTCAGGATGGGGAAAAGGACAGACAAATATTTATGACTGCACTATTGAGAAATCAACAGATTAAGCTGAGAATGATGGTGATGGTGAAGTATGTAGCCAACTGCTCCACAACCTCTGACTTAGGGAGCGAGACAGTGTTTAGTTTTAGTAAGAGTTTTACGGCACTTGCAACACAATAAGGCAATATAAGCGCCGATGAGACAGTTTAAAAGCTGGATAAGATTTTCCCAAGTTGCAGCAGTCTTACCTGAAAGATGACGACAAAGACGATGCTGAAGCCAAGCCGTACGGTCGCCATCTGTCTTTTATATTTTTCTAGATGTGTTGCCTTTTGCTAGGGAACGCAATCTGTAGAAGAGAATATAAATTTGAAATAATATTATTATGAATTAAACAGAAGTAAGGAAGTAAAGAAGAACATAAACTATTTTTGCATTCTGCCCAATACAAAGGAATGGGTCGGAAGTGGGCGAGGGTCTTTGGAGCGAAAGGGAAAAGGAAGGTAGGGGAGAGGGGTTGGGATGTCGTCAATGGCGATGACAATGTTACAATTGTACGTACGCCCTTGATTAAACTACAGCACCAAGAATAATGCCAAAATCAGAAACCCATTTTCTGGTCACTGCCGCGAACCTCACTTAGGAGTCAATGTTACAAGTCTTGTTCATAGACACGTCGAAGATGCTCCTGTCTGGAAAAAAAAGCTCTTGTCACCGAAATTATTTTGGGTGAACGTATGTTGTTTCACCTCTACTTGACTAAACCCTTCAAGATTGTATATAAATCTTTAAAGGATGTCCGAGTTTCTCAGAACTCCATTGCCTGGATTTGCCTCCTCAATGAGTGGAAACTTTACGTTTTGATGTTCTATATAATTGGCCACGTAACGTGACGCTGCAAAAATACAGTTTTTTGACAGTTGTTCCCTCAGTGTGACATTCCTTCCCTGTGCATTTAAGAGAGGCGTCGAGGTTGAACGATCTTAAAACATGTCAACAGACATGATTACTGAAATGTCATTTTACCAGCTAGTTTTATTCTTCTTTCAACAAACTGTGATCAGCAGCCACATAGATTGTCTTTCAGTGTATATGTCAGACTGCGAGTGGCTATATATTTGAAAGGATTGTTGAACATTGAAAGGGCCATGTACATGAAACATGACCACGTGTAAGCAGGCAATTTAAAAATGAATATTTTATTATGAGGCTTCTAGAGCCGCCAAGGAGTGGGGTCTGTAAAACACCTTTCTTCATCTTCTTCTTCCTCTCCTTCTTCTTCTTCTTCCTCTCCTTCTTCTCCTTCTTCTTCTTCTTCTTCTTCTTCTTCTTCTTCTTCTTCTTCTTCTTCTTCTTTTTCTTGTGTGAAACATGACTTAAAATTCAACTAATACCATCACTTTATCTAAGAAAAAAGATCAACTTCAATACCTAGTAGCTTCAGATCTACGCGCTGGATGTAGGAGGTTTCTTGACAAGTTTTACAGGAAGTAATGTTGCATTGCCTCTGTGCTAACGTGTTATTATGTGACATTAACACATTCGCACCCACTTAAATAGCCAGTATCATGAAGTCCCCTTTATTGAAGAATAGAACGTACAGAGGAAAATAATATTATTCTATTTGTTGCTGTGATCTCTTGAGGCATTTCATAATAAAAGCTATACTGTTTGAGGGTGATTGTAGGCCTATACTGGCAGGTCTTACGTCTTTATTTTCCTCCTGTTGCTTCTGTCTGTCTGACTTTCTTTTCAACAATACTAAAAGGGGCTCTCATGGCCTAGAGGTTAAGGTGTTGGCCTTTCATTCAAAGGTCCCGGGTTCGAATCCGGGTAGCGACCGAAACATTTTCTTCTCTAAAATTGTCTCCTTTCACCTCCTTTCCTGCTCTCTAGCAATGTTCTGTTGTCTGCTTTCATTTTCACTTTCTGCCCCCACCCCCTCACCTCCTTTGCCCCCTCCTCTGGGCTCCTGACTCTTTCTGCAGCCTTTCTACTGCTACTCCTTGGCTCCTCCTTACTGCTGTCTTTCTGCCACACCCCTGATCTTCTGGTAGGAAAGATCTACACCCAGCCTTCTCGGACAAGGGCCAAAATCTCGGAGGGCCCATGTGCAAGTTGCGCACGTTAAAGATCCCTTGGTGGTCTAAAATCGATAAGAGTAGGCTTCGGCCGCCACCCGGGCAAAATTCAAAATTTCCTACCAACTGAAAATATTAGGTGTGTCCCGCGCGCTCATATGACCTACGCAGTTGCGAGCGCCGTAAAACACTTAACAAAAACAAAACAACAACACTAAAATACTATCATTGTGTCGATGTGCTTCTCCACACTCAAATAAAATAATGAAAACGATTGTAATTTATACATCGCTGATGAAACTGAAAAAATCCACACCAATTACAAAGTTTTAAAGCTTTGTCCTATGCAAAGCAGGATTTTGCCACTCTACTGCTAAATAATACCAAAAAAACTTATTTTCACCTCATGGTGGTAAACAAAGGTTTAGAAAGACATTTGAAAGCGCGAAATAGGGGGGGGGGGGCAAGCAAGTCTTTTAAAACCCACGCAATGTCGGTTCTGACTCTTGACTCCCCCTTGCTGTTGAAAAAGGAAGGCCAATCTTAAGAAAAGGACAATTTAATAGAGTGGGTAGCATATGAATTAGAGTTATTCTTACGTCTAAACGAAGTGAAACAACTTCCTGTTGCCGGATCCTAAAAACATTGATTTATATCCTTGAAGACAAAAACAATGAACAACTGCGTTTCCCGTTTTATCTTGAAAAGAAACTTCAGTAGCAAAACAGTGCAAACCAAACGAAAAAAGAAACACTGCAAACCATACTTTATACAAAACAAAATGAAACTAAACCCAGTCAAAAACTCATGATAATGTCACCAGCTTCTCTTCTTCCTACGTCGCCCCCCCCCCCCCCCCCTCTTCTCGCATTTTCAAATCACTTCCGTCTTGATTAACCCTTTCCCCGCTAGCACAGAAGATGTCCTCCCTTTTCAAGCTGTGCACATGCTCTCTTGTCACTTTGTGATTGAATCACGTATCGATTATCCTGTCAGTTGACATTCTCAGCCTAAAAAATATCCAAAGAGCACACTTCACTCGCCCAATTCTACTGAGGCCCGGAAACATCCAACCGTGTATATTAAGCGCAAGACATTTTTTTAAAATGTAGGTGTTTTTCCAGCGCCATCAACACAATGTAGATCACTTAGGAGGTAGGGTTCCGGCCCTGCCTGTCAGAGCCAACCCGAGTATCGAGGGATACAATATCCCAGCAGAAAGACGGAGATCCTCGATAAAAGTTCTTAAAGACTCGGCGATAGAACTTGGGTCTCCTGCGTTCGACAGCCAAGCGCCTAACCGCAACACCACAGACGCAGGTGTGGAAGACAATGAGCGGTGGAGGGGGATCAAAGATTAAAATGACACAGCATATACATTGTCATCCTTTTTTCCTGATTAGAAGAGAAGTTAAAACGACACCATTTCGCTTTATATGAGAAGTCACATGAAAAGTTCATAATGACCTGAAACCTAAAAAAAAGGGTTGATTAATTGGACTCAGTGGAATTAAAGTGTTGTTTCTTTTGCGAAGTTCATGTGAAACAGACAACGTCAGAGCCACATGAATAAATCAACTCTCAAGTTTAATCTTTATTAATCAGAGCAGGAGCACAGGAGATTACCTCAAAATCTGGTCTTGATCAACTGGACGCTCCAAACATGTTCCCGTACATTTATTGCATATAATACAAGAGAGCAAGAGTGTGAGTGAGCCAAAAGAGTGATGTTTGTGTGTGTGTGTGTGTTTTTGTGTGTGTGTGTGTGTGTGTGTGTGTGTGTGTGTGTGTGTGTGTGTGTGTGTGTGTGTGTGTGTGTGTGATATGGAAGTTGGGAAATGGGAATAAGAATATCGGGAATATACGAATAAGATCGCCTGTGTTTGTCTATACCATCTCCCGCTCACCCCCTCCAATCCTTTCCTCATTAGCAATTTTGTTTTTGGGGTTTTTGGACGTCCGAAAGACCACACATTTGAATAACGTTCTCTCTCTCTCTCTCTCTCTCTCTCTCTCTCTCTCTCTCTCTCTCTCTCTCTCTCTCTCTCTCTCTCTCTCTCTCTCTCTTTCCATCTCCCCTCCCCCCTCTCTCTCTCTATATATATCTATCTATCTATCTATCTATCTATCTATCTATCTATCTATCTATCT